TTTAAGGTCCTTTCCAACCTAAACCAGTCTGAGTCTGTAAACGTTGCAGTGCCAGTGAGTGCCACTTGGCTGGGTTGCGTGAGAGGGAATGAAGTAGCCTGCAGGCCAGAACAAAGACAACGTGAGCTATTGCAGTGAAACAGTTAAACAAATAAGTGTATCTTTTCCTAACTTGGTAATGCTTTTATTAAATAAAATCATATCAGCCTTTTCCAGTAAAACCTCTTGACCAGGTTGGGGCCTGGTACTTCATGAGATCCTTTCAAGATTCCTGCCAGGCTTTTCTCTTTTTTTTTTAATTAAAAGGTCTTTCCTAGGTACTTCAGCATTTGTCAGACCTTCCACAATGAAGAATTAATGTTGTTTAACAGCTACAATTCTGTGTGTGTCTTCCTTAGGACTCCCACCCTCGTTACATGGGGTAGTGTAGCTGGTATTGGTGTAATATGGGGCACAGACTGGAAGCTGATCCTTCAGTATGTTCCCTACATCAGTGGCAAGTATAAAACTGAAGACTAAGCTTCCCTCTCATGGTAAGTTTTGTTTGTGCCTCTCTGAGCTAAAAAAGTAGTGTTGTCTTGGTGTGACAAATGATGTGTCCGGTCTGTCCAGGGCACAATCATTTATTATTTGTCCAAAATACACTTAATTTCATTGGTCAGGAGTTCTAAAAATACTTTTCTGTCTGGGGCTTCACAGAGTGCCAGGAGGATGAAATATGAAAACAAATATGATTTTCAAGTGAATATTTTGCAAGTGGTGGATTTTGGTGTGGTTCTTAAGAGGTCAAATCAAGTTTTCGATGCTGAACCTTTGACAGATGTGTTTGCTTTTATTCCAAGCTAGAATGGCTTCAAGCTCATGACTAGTTTTGTTGCTAGGTGAATTCAGACTCCTTTCTGTTCCTTGTAACTCTTATTAAATATAAACTGAATGTTCAGAGCTAGTTACTCTGTACCAGAAATTCATTGGAAAATTGGCTTTCTCAAGTGATTTTATTATTATTTTTTAAATTTCCTTCTTTAATCGCATATGAAATGTGTTGTTCTCAGTCTGATTCTGCCACTCTGCTCTTGTGAGACCCCACTTGGAGCACTGTGTACAGTTCTGGTGTCCCCAGCATGAGGACATGGAGCTGTTGGAGCAAGTCCAGGGAAGGCCGTGAGGATGCTCAGGGGCTGGAGCACTCCCATATGGAGACAGGCTGAGAACACTGGGGCTGTTCAGGCTGGAGAAGAGAAGCTGCGTGGAGACCTCAGAGCAGCTTCCAGTGTCTGAAGGGGGCTACAAGGATGCTCTAGAGGCACCTTCATCAGGGACTGTAGCGATAAGACATGGCGTGGTGGGTTTAAACTGAAACAGGGTTAGATCTAAAGCAGAAGCTCTTCCCTGCGCTGGCACAGAGTGCCCAGAGAAGCTGTGGCTGCCCCATCCCTGGCAGTGTTCAAGGCCAGGTTGGACACAGGGGCTTGGAGCAACCTGCTCTAGTGGAAGGTGTCCCTGCTCGTGGCAGGGGTTGGAAGGGGATGAGCTTTAAGGTCCCTTCAACCCAAACCAGGCACCCGAGATGCTACAAATTCATCTTGTGGGTCTCCCCACAAGTCAGTGGAAATCTCTGAAGTTACATAGATGCAACGAAATGACCTAGTAAGGGCTTGGTTACTTTGAAATTGTCTTAGCTGGTAGTAGGAACATGGATTTGTTCCTGAGATGACAGTGATGTGCTTTGTTTTGAAGCAGGAGCTTTGAGGTGTCATTATGCATAAATCATCTGGAAAGAGGAATAGAGGAGGGGGACATTGCTGTGGTGGCCTGTGATTCCTTCCAAAGAGCCTGTATGCCTGTGTGCCTGCCTTCTGCTCTGCCTATACCAGCCTCTGCAACAGGAACTTCTTGCCTGGATACGGGAAGCACTGCTTAATGACTGCTTTGTGTTTATTACAGGAAACGTATTGCTGGGTAGTGTTTTGGAGCCGTCCGTCCGCTGAGAGCCTGCTTTGAGGTGAACTTGAAATGCCCAGTAAAGATTCTGCAACAGGTCGTGGTGTCCCCTCTCCCATGAGCAGTTCTGACCATTGGTTGGGAACAAGTTTAGCTTCACTGACCAGCCTGCGTAGTGCTCTTCCACTGATCACTGTCACAGCAGATCTTCTTGTAATGGGAGTAGTTTATAAACCTGATGTACAAAATAAACCAAGTTAATTATATTTTTGCTTTTTTTTGTGTGTGTGTGTTTCCTTTTTAGGCCACACTCTTTAGACGCCTCATTTGGGTTATATCTTCAGCTTGGTTGAATGTGTGTCCTAAGGAGGAGTGTTTGCCTCTCATTCTGTACACATTCCTTGGGCATCAAGCAGGGGATGAGCCTTTTTATTTGTTTGTGGGTAGTTTTTGCTCCTCACTCCTAATACTGCTGTAGTTCTTGAACTATTCTTAGTGATGTCTTCATTTTAAGCTAATCATTCCCACATCAGCAGCAATTTGGACTCATGCATGCAGTTAACTTTTCATAGCCAATATTGCAGGGTTTCGTGGTAACAGATACCTGGCATTTAGTTTAAAGCAAGATTTTGCTTCTTTTTACCATCAGTCTGTGGACCCCTTCAACTGTCTGGTGGGTGCTGGTGGAAAGTTCATCCCTTTCCACAAAGACACAAAATCTATGTAAGAACAGTATCACTGTTTTCTCTCTGTTTCGTGCCAAATTTCACCATGTTATAATTTTGGGCTGTAATGAAAGGGTGAAACCTCTTAAGGGAAAAATCTGTGTTGTAGCAGCTGTGCTGCTTGAGTGTCACCTGCAGGGTTGGAGGCTTCCGAGTGATATTTCTATGGAAAGCTGTTGTAAAACCTGCCCAAACGGTGGCACTGTGCAGGATGCTTGAACTACTTCCAGAACAGAATAATTGCTTAAGCATTGCTTTGGCATCCCCACTGATAACTCATTGGGGGGACAGGGAATATCATTTTCACATACAAAACACGCTGTGCTGCCCTGCTATAGTGTGAAGGGATGACTGTGCTGTTGCCTCAGTCTCTTGCAGTCCATTGCTCCAGCAGTGCTCCTGGGTTGACTCCCAAAAGGAGTCCCAAGCCACTGTGCCTTGGAATACTGAGACTGGAGGTGTGACAGCAGCCCTGTGCTGTACACAGAGGTATTGATATCGATCCAGATTCATCCTGAAAGTAGATGTTGGTACCAGCCTGATCTCACACGTCATCAGGACTGGAAGCTCAGACTTGAACAGTTGGAGCCTGTTGAACATGTCTAGACAGCACAGGCAGAATATGCTGCTGCTGACTTCAGACACGACCTAGTTTGGGCTTGTTCCCTTTGCTCCCACAGATGAGGGAGCTCTTCAGGCCTTGAACTGAGGCTCTGCCCGTGTTGCCCACTCGCCCAAGGCCCCTGGTTGTCAGTCTGCAGCTCTCACTGTGGAGCGTTACCTTTAGCAAAGTCCCATGGAGAGCACTGTGTGCAGCACGTGAGATCAGAAGATACTTATAGGAGAAAAATGTATTCAATATTCGCAGGCACTGCAAGAAACATATGGACTTTGGCTTTGTTTGGCCTTCAGGGATTGTTGAGCTACTTGTGCTTTCTGCAGCATTCAAAATGATTTCTCTAAGCATAGGATTACCCTATAATTTCTAGTATTTCTCCTTCCACAAGAGCACAAGCACTCTCCAGAAATACTCTATTAGAAATATCTTCTGCATTCCCTGGGGAGCCCCCCCTGCAGCCCTGTGTACAGCTCTGGGAGCAACAAAAGAGGGACATGGAGCTGCTGGAGCGAGGCCAGAGGAGGCCCCGGAGCTGCTACGAGGGCTGGAGCAGCTCTGCTCTGGAGCCAGGCTGAGAGAGCTGGGCTGGGGCAGCTGGAGAAGAGAAGGCTCCTCAAGGGGACACCTTAGAGCAGCTCCTTAGAGCTCCCAGCCTAAATCATTCTATGATTCTTGGGCAGATTTCTGTTAAAATTCAAATAATTACTGCTCAAGTGTGAGAAGTGATTTTTCTCGTTTTCACTATCCTTGCATTGCTTCTTTTCTCGCAGTTATTTTTCAGAATGAGCTCACCAAATGTCACATCCATTATATGAACAAATTAGTTAAAAGACAATGACTCAACAGAGGAGAAAAAGCTTCCTCTTAAAATCCTGTTGAGTTCTGCCAGAGGGGACAGTGGCAGCCAAGTTCACAGGGCTTTGGATTTACAGAAATCAAAGATCATAGAATCCCAGCCTGGTTTGTGTT